TTCATGTAAATAATTTAAAATCCATTTTCAAAATGAATTGTACATTCCACGGATCGCCAAAAGAAACAGCATTCAGAGAGAAATAGAAAGATAATAAGATATTTCTAGATACGTTCAAATAATCAAACGTTACCAAAAGTTCCTCCGTACGAGCAACTTTCACGTGAAATTTCACATATAAACCACAATAAATCAAAAAAAACTCCATCTAAATAACGTAGAACCCATTCTCCAAACTAGTTGTCAATTCCACGGATCACAGAGAAAAGGAACAGTCCAACATAGAGAAAAATAGAATCTCCGCAATTTGTGCTCGCATGCGAGCAATGGCGCACATACGCGGTCGAATGGAGTCTCTCCACGAAGCTCGGTGGCATCGAGACGCCGGATCTCGAGTCCACGAAAACGATGTAATCCCGTCGCTAGGTCGGCGACGAAAATAATCGGTAAGAGAGACGACCACGATCTGCCCGCTATCACGCTAATGTCCTTTGGAGTGTGGTTCGGTGTTCCGTGTGCTGGAAGGAGCCAACTCTCTCCGCGTTATTATTTTTCCTCGCCTTTAACCGCCCTCTCCACTGTCGAGAGAGAAAGAGAGAGAAAGAGAAAGAGCTGTTTTCGAGCCACGGGGTAAAATGATATGTTCCGGTGAGCAACGGCCGTCCAACTATAAGAGGGTAGATAAGACGAGATGGGATACAACGGAACCACGGGATTAACTCTATGCTCTCTCTCTCTCTCTCTTCTTACCTCGGCAACGGAACGACAGGAAGAAACGAACGCCCCTGGAACGCTAATCGTTCTGACCTGTCGCTTCGGGTTATTCGAGAGCGCAGGTGTGGTTGCATTCAGAAATTCGCTTATGGGCCGCGTTATGGACACGTTTCGAGGCGATACGGGGCCGTGGCTATCCCGTGGCTATCGTCTCGTAAGAGGCGGGATCGAATCCGTTAATGAAATTAACGCTAGGGTCGCGATATCGTGGCTGTAATCCACGGGGGGGGCTAGTCGGGCGGGGAAATTGGTCGTAGATGAAAGCAAGCAACGGGTTGGCAATAACGGGATTGTCGGCATGGGGGTAGTTGCAACAGTTGAAACTGAGATACCAGGTCTTCGTCGGGGTCACTCCGTCACGTGGCCGAAGATCGTGCAAAACGATTATCGTCGTTCTCGCCCATTCTCGAGCACAGGGATAAAGGGATTACGATTGATAAATGGATAAGACACGTGCGCGAGATTATATACGACACGACTATCGTGTTATATTATATGTTCATGGCATCAACAGTGTAACGCGAAAGCTCATCGACTTCGAGACGAAATTCAATTCGAGTTCAATTCTAAAATCTTCCTCGCCTTCGTTGCTTCCGCATCTCTATGTACTAAGAGATTCTGGAACCAAGAAGTCCTTTCTGTCTCTGACGATGACCCCCTCTCCCTCGCCTCCCTCGTCAACAAAGGGAGACGCGGTTGAGGGGGAGTCGGTTAGTAGTTCGGATCCATATCTTTAAATCATCGGTCGAAATGTCGTTAATTACGCGACGAACGGAGGTAATCTGGACGATCGCGAATAATTCTCGAGCTAATTCCATCCCGACCGGGCGACTAGAGATCAGGATCATTACAGGCCGATTAGACCTTAAGGAATTAATTCACCCATTGTCTGCGGGATTTCTATCCGCGCCATAAACCCTTTTCACTCGGGGAAGAGGTAGAAACTTGCGCCATAACGTCGCTTTTCCTATCTACCGCCTCTTTCTTTCACCCTTCCCGGGTATCAAGACTACCCGGTTCATTTATTCCCGAGGCTATTGTGATCTCCGCTCGCGTGACCGATTATCACGTCGTCGATCGCCCCCGGGGATCTTAAATCTGCGAATCGTCGGCCGTTTCATTTCTGTTACGCAACTGGGATCCGCTCTTGATTTAAACGGCTGATCTTTCGCCGACACCCTAATAATGGAACAATGGCCCTCGATGGACTCCGCAGACGCATCCTTAAGATTAGATTGGATTTCTGAGTGAAAACGAAATTTGACTGATCGGTGGCTGCCTTGTTTCTCGAGAGATTGGAACGGCGATCCAGACGATTACCTTCGCGAAGAAATTTGAAATTCTTGCAGAGCATTGTTGAAAATTATACCACACGATGTTGTGAATTTTTGTTAAGAGTTCGAAACAATTTTATAGATAATCGAGAAAATCTTCGGAAGTAATCTAAAAAAATACTGCTACGAACAATTCTGCCCTGACGTAAATTTCCACTCTCAAAATACGAATATCATCGTATCTAAGATAATCGCATCGTTTCTGTTTCGAGCGAAAATCAAAATCAATTTCCCGGAAAGCGAAAAATTGGAAATTCATTTCGACGAATTTATCAGGATCGCTAAAAATTCAAAATGGCTAAAATTTTTTGGGATAATAAAAAAAATAAAAATGGAAGAGCGAGCAACGTCCAACGGCATAATTGAACGCGAAACATCCTTGTCACCTTGTTCCAATCTCGATATTTCTATCAGTGTCGCTCATCCCCTCGGACAATAGGAAGAGGGCAATATAAGATAATGCCCCTGGAATAAAGTCGGTTTCATTGCTTCCCGTTTCGATCTGATAGGTGTAGGCTCGCCGAGTGGCTCGAAATCGGGACGGGTTTAAACTCCCTGCGTGGCCTACGAGAGAAATTTAAGACGTCCATTGTTCCTGCCGCTTGAATTTACAAGGGTTGTAAACCGCTTTGAGCTACGACACGTTGCAACGCCACCACCGTTCTGACATCATCCCCATCACGAGCCACGTTTTAATTAATGCGTTCTGTATTTTACACGACAGACCATCAGACGAGGGTAACGTACTCGATGATCGCGGGACGAGTGCTCGGTCCTTCGATCTTCCGCCTCGAGGACCCGGCAATCAACGACCGTGACACCTATAAAGAAATGAAAGAGAGAGAGACAGAAAGAGAACTTGACAATCCCAGACGTATCCTCTCGCGGTCTAGAGCTTTAATTAAAGTAGAATTTAAATCGAAAGTCCAAGTGTATTGTTTAAAAGTGACTAATGGATCGTTACGTTCTAAAGTGATACTTACATTTTAAAGACGTTGCAATTTTTCTCGGTGCAAGTGGAGGAGAGATCGAATTAAATGTAACGTTTCATTAAATAGAGATTTTAATTCTATTCTGAAAATCAAATTTCAATAATATTCGTAAAAATAATATGCCACTGCACCATGGATACTCGCATGTGAAAAATGGCACTCGCCTACAAACATTAATTTCATATAACGCATTATATTCACTTCCGAAAGAAAAATCTCTGGATCTCGAACTTATTCGTGCAAATGAATAATATTTATTCCAATCTCGTTAATCTTAAAACGCGACTTCTTTCTTTTACTCTAATACAGCTCAAGTATCTCCCTTTCTCTTACAACGTTATCTACAATATTACAAATCCAAATCCTCTTGTTCCAATAAAAAAATACACATTCAATAGAGAATATATATTCTTCACCCTCGGTTGCAGTTTAAATTCGCCTCGGAATCAGACGCCTCAGAATCCAGCCGGAATTCCTCGACAATCGCTCCCGAATTTCTTCACGAGAACGATGGAGGGGGAGGAGTTGCGGATGGCATCGAATGGGAAGCGACAATAAAACGCGACCTTCACTGAGGTAATCTCAATTGGAGGTGGGCGGGAGGGCAGCAGGGGCGAAGAAAAGGACCCTCGAAGGAAGCGCGAGCGGCACGCGTATCCAGGGATATTTGTGACAGGGGGTGGAAAGTCACGGGCAACGGGAGGGCAGGGCTGTATCGAAGGGAGGATCGATCCCCCGAGGCCGATGGAGGAGCCGCATTCCTGTGTAAGCGGCCCTCCTTCACGACCACTTTCTCCTCGCGAAATAGCGAAACCCTTCGAAGCGGACACGGGCAAGTCGCCCTGCGGGAGATTCGCAATCCTTCAAAGTGGCAGAGAGGGAACGACTAATCAACGCGGCCATTGTCCGAATCACGGATCCCGGAAATTATTGTTACTCGTGGCGACGTATTTATTCGGTCTCTTGGACCGAAGGGATGAGTATTGTTGTGTGAAAAAAGTTTATGGGGGTTGCAAAGATCTCGACGTTACGCTGTTGCAATTGCGGAAAAATGGATGATCTCGCGCGTGTGATGAAAGTAAAATTAGAAAGTCAGAAATGATCGAGGAATTGTTGCGGAACCCGTTTTTGATTCGTTGTTTAATCGAGTGATATTCTGTATTGTGTGCAAGTATGGATATTGGATGAAAAAAAAAGTTTTGGATCTGTTCCCGTTTTACACAATATTGTTTCACAACAGTTGTGAATAGAGAATTATGTTATGTTCTTTTTTTCGTGTCCATTCTCAATCATTTATTGGACATTTTGACGCGAGGGAAGTTTCAAACTTTAAAAACTCACTTTAAAAATGGAAATAAGGACTTATCGATTCAATAAGTACTGTTCATCCTACTTTCTCCTTTAAAATTGGTGAAAATAAAACTGTCCCTATTTCTATTGCTTCTATCCCTCGATCGTAAGCCTATAATTTTCAAGTAAGAGAAAACGATGAAATCGCGAACGACGTTTCCTTCGAGATCCTTCGAAGTATCGCCAGGATTTTCGTTATCGAGATAGCGTGCCAAGGATGGCAACAATGGTGGCCATCCTTGCCGTCCCTTCTTTTTTTCCACGCGTCTGCGCGACGCGACAAAAGCAACAAAATCTCCTCTTTGGAAAACAAAGAGAGGTTGAATATGAACCGTTGCGCCACGCTCGCCTATAGGCTCATTGTTCCACAGTCGCGGCACAACAATCTAGAAATTGTACTTTCGCGAAAAAAATAAGAAAAAAGGGAAAGAGAGGGGCAAGGGAGGAGAAGGAATAAAAATAGGAAAAGAACAAGTAAGAGCTAAAAAAAAAAAAAAAAAAAAAAAAAAAAAAAAAAAAGAAAAAAAGAGCGAACGTGAAAATAACTCACCTGAAAAAACGATGAAGAATATCACGGGGCGCAGGATACATCGAGTGTAGGCGTAATTACTCTTTAAAGAGGCTGCCCATCGACTGGAAAAAGCGAGGTCCTCAAACCGTGACGTTTGTTATCGGAATGGTAGCGACGGTAGGGCACAGGACAACGCGAACCACGACAATACCGTCGCAAAACTCGCTCTCTTCTTTTCCACGCGTCTGTGCAGCACGACAAAAGCGGCACAACCCCCTTCTTCACGGCCGCAAAGCGTGCGGAGGAAAGTTATTCTCTCTGTCTCTCCGTGTCTAGCCGTCTTTTTCTTTGCTTCGATGAGAATCGGGATCCGTCGACGTAACAATTTCTATGATAAATGGTTCGTTATGCGTCTATCTGATTGATCCTTTCGCGATCTAAGGCCTGAAGTTATGAATTGCCTGTTCTTGAAATCGATAGAATCTTTGTTGTAAATCTTAGTTACGCAGCTCTCTTCCTTAATTAATTTAAAATAGAATTTCAAATAATTAAATAATCGATACAGATGTTTTATATCGAATTGATTGCTGCGACTCGATAAAAAATCTTTTATTTTCACGCGTCTCATTGGCTTCTCGTCCCGCGTGAACAACAACAATAATCAAATATTAAAATATATTGTTGAACGAACGATACTTTTAATCTTATAGTTTCGATAATCGAATAAACTGAAATAAAAAAAAAAACAATATTATTATAGTCGAAAAATCGGGAAATGTTGCGCATGGAAGGATTAATTACATTTCGCGCATTGCTTTTAGCAACTAAATGTTTCAAAACATGTTACGACTAAAAAAAAAAAAAAAAAAAAAAAAGAAAAAAAAATTCGATTTAAAATATCATATTTTCATTAAATACGCACGAGGCATATTCCAATTTCCAACAAACCTGTTTCAAATCTCTCGTGTGCACGCGTGCAATTTTTGCCCTGTATGCGAATCGATAAATTCGTCAACTGTCCCCAGGCACTTCGTTTCGCTGGATTTCTTCTCCTAGTGGACAAAAATTAGTTGCCAGGTCAGAAACGAACGAGGGATGCACGAACGTTTACGAACGTTTGCTCATCTCGGTGGTGATTGCAGGAAAAAAATTCACGAAAAGGAAAATGTGTTTGCCAGGCCGTTTTGAGCGCGCTCGTAAAATCGTCGCACGACCGAATGCAATCAGGCTGGATTAAACGTTGATACTTTCTAGCTACGAGCCAATTCTCTCTCTCTCTCTCTCTCTCTCTCTATGTTCACCCTCTTCTTTTCTCTCTCCCTCTTATTCTTCTCTCCACTCTTCTTTCTCGCTGCGGTAAATCTAACGCTACGGCAAGCGAACTGGGTCAACGAGGGTCGCCGACATTTAAACAACGATTCGATTGCGAACGAGATTTTTGAATTGGATATCTCGCGAGGTCGCCCGAAATAACGTCGGGTTTGAATACGCGTTTTCATGCTCGTTAAGATCGATGTTGCAACCTTTGAAAATTTACCACCTATCTTCTATTCTCCTTTTACTATTTCCAGCAATCTATAAAAGAATAAACGAGCTTTATAAATGTTCCACGCGTATTAGATACTCGATTAGAAGAAGAGATCGAACGTTCGAATAATTTTTATATACACGAGTCACTGTGTAACTCGTAGATTGAAACGAACATAGAACAATAAAAAAAAAAAAGAGACAAAAGAAAAGAACGAGTAATATTTAGAAAATTCGCGATAGACGAACGGAATACGCGAGACGCGTTGGCGTGAACGTTGAAAGGTTAAAAGTACGGGACGATTATAGAAGAAGTTAGCCGGGTCCAGAAGGAAGAAAGAAGCAACTAAAAATAGCCGCCGGTGCCACATTACGGATCGATTGTTTGAGAAACTGTTGGACGCCGCGTTGAAATTTCCGCTAAAGTTGGAGCAACCGCTCGATCAACGTCACTCGTCACAGAGAGCGAGAGAAATAGAAAGAGCGAGAAGGGAAGAGAAGAGGGTTTTAACTTCTCTCTCAAAGAGGGGTGGCGCGCGATTACGATCATTTACAAAAAGGCCGTCGCCGGCGCCAACGTGGATGGAAACAGCGAAATCGCTTCTTTGTTTCACAAGTCTGGCCACCGCCACCGATCCCGTACCCCTACCTCCCTCCCCCTCCCTCCCCTTTAATGCCTTTACGACGTTTCCCATCGAAATCAAACGTTCCCCGCGATCGAGAGTCGGATGATGCAAGATGAAAGACGATGGGGGTGGTCGGGAAGTCTGACAGAAAAGGCGGGGGAGGGGTTAAAGCAGGTATAGGTAATGTACCAAAATTGCTTTACCGCCGGTCCATTTACGGAGATGAAAAGCACTCTCTGCCAAGTACACCGGTGGCTCCAGCCAGGGTTCACGACAGCCCAGAAGCGTCGTATCCCGCCTCTGCCCTTCTGATGTTGGGTACCGGCGACGTCCAACCCCTCTCAATTTCAGTTTGAAGCCAACCCTTTCACCAATTTGCCGACATCGCCCGCTAGAACTTTCGGCCTAGCATTGTCGCTGACGTCGATACTGTGTAACTCCTCTTCAATCAACCTAATCACAAACAAATGCGCCCGCTTACCCCGCCTGCATGATTCATGATCCGGTGCCTCGCATTAAATTCTTCTCTCTCGCGCTTAGTAATAAGAATTTCGAACGAGTGTCAAGTTTAATTTTCTTCCGGCTGGCCCATGCACGAGGGTCAACGTGTACAATTGATCGTAGAGAAATATCTAGTTGTACAAGTAATATAAGAGGAAATGAGAAATTGAATATCGAAATAATAAGATTTATTGCAATGTAAACTTTTGTTGTTTTCGACAAAGTCGTGAGATTATTTTCTTCTTAAGAATTTTTTTTCTAAATTTCGCAGCAAATTTGTAAGAACGACAACACACGAGTGAAAGCGCCGCTTGGCTTGATCCTTAAACAATGATTCCACTGGCGTTTAAATAATGATCGTACGTCGAACGTGCCGAGGGTGATTCGTGGGATCAGGTGCGCTAAAGAAAACTACCCTCAGAAATGGATTGAACCGAATTTCGGAGGGCCTCGAGGTCGATTAGGGTGAAGCCAAACGGGAGATACGAGAGATCTCTCGAGGAGAAGCGGCCGAGGCCATCGACGTCGATTTACCGAACGTCGATTCTATTGCTTGGTCATTTTCCTCGATTTTCTTCCCACTTGACGCGTGTCTACCACGGTGAAACAACATTTGACTTTGTATGTTAAACATTTTCCACAAAACTCTTCCGTATCATCGGTTACGACGAATATTATATACGTCAAATTTTAAAATATTTGGATAACTCATCGAATGAAAATCGAAAAATTCACGAGACGAGGAATTTTTGAAAAATTGTTTCTTTCTTTCTTTCTNTTTTTTTTTTTTTTTTTTTTTTTTTTTTAAATATTCAGAGAGATTACAACATTTGAATAGCGCGATCTACGTACATTTCATATATAATCAGTTTTCAAATTTACAGCGACCGCGTGATGTAAAAGTTGGGACCACGAAACGACCAACTTAACTTTCGCTGTGCGCGTGGCCGCCTATAATTCACGGACTTTTAGGCGGAAAATGGTCGCAACTTCGGTCGGACGATTTGTAAATCGGGCACAACTCGACGTTGAACCGCGTTTCCCGTTTGTCGGCGCGAAAACGATCCCAAAAAACGTGTTTTTAGCGCTCCGCCGGACGAGGTTGCTGAATGCACCCCGAACAGAATTGTTCCGTGCAAAAGATTTGTACGCGAAGCGTATTTTTTTCCTTTTTTTTCCTTTCTTCTTTTTTTTCGTTTTTTTCTTTCTTTTTTTTTTTTTTTTTTTTTTTTTGTTTTGGAAATTAATGGAAACTGGAATTGACAGGTGTCCAATCGTTGTATTTCCATCGCGAACCACTATGCCAGTACCTTTATCGTTATCACAGGTGTTGTGTTTCAATTTTTCTTTTTATGTTTTTTCCATGTTTTTCTCCCTTTCTTTTTTTTTTAAATACATATATATATATATANTTATATTTTTATTTATACATTTTTTTGAAAGCGTGAAACGTTAAAAAAAAAAAAAAAGGAAAAACAAAAAAATGAATGCACAGTATCGATCGGTCTCCGCATTTTTTTTTTTTTTTTCCACCGATTCGACCGCCGATCATTTATTGATGAGCGCTTTTAATTCGGGCACAGAAACCCTGTGCATACAAGCGTCGACGTAATCGAGGATCGATACGCAACACCGACGTGTTTCCCATCTAAATTCCCGCGAGTCCTTGATCCTGTCGGCGCCCGACAACAGTTTCGAAACACCACTATAACTGATAGACTTTTTATTTAATTACGAGCCGAGCACGCATCTGTGTACTCCTTCTTGTTAGCCCGTTGCCTGGAAAGTATCGGCGCCATGGGGATTCACCCTTACGTTGTTCCCGACTAATCGGACGTGAGACAATCGACAACTTGCCGCTACGCTTTGTTTTTTTTCTTTTTTTTTTTTTTTTTTCTCTCTTTCTTTTTCATCTTCCTCCCTTATGTCGCGTTGAGACAGCGTTGAGACAAGTATTAATTTGCTTTTATGATTCGAGAGGGAAACACCTGGTTTCCTCATCTTGGTTAATTGATTCTTTCTCTATATTTTTTTTTATTTTATAATTCGTATAAATTTTAATATAAGATGGTATTAGAGAAGAATTTATATACGAAATTTTATATCATTATCTCGAATTACACGAATATCTTCAACATATCTGTGTTAATATATTCAATGAAACAGTTTTGGAGAGTCGATTCAAGGGATTAAAACAAATGTAAAAATTAATATAAATGATTGGCTAATTTATTAAGTTGCAAGCGATTTAGCTTTGCCTTGAAGATAAATTTGTCTCGCTCTATCTTCATCTGGCCTAATCGCTTGATGAAATAAATTTCAATCGACGATTTTTGTATACACCAATTTTTATACTTATCCCTTCGATTCTTAGATTATTAAAGATCTATTATTAAAGAATAATCATAATACGAGATAGCTACAACAAAATAGAATGTTCGCAATAAGATTTCAAAAAGAAAGAGAGATAATGCCAAATAATAAGAGATTTGAGATTTATAGAAACGCAACTAGTTGCAACAAGATTCTTCGTCTGTCGTTTGAGAATTACCATGTTTGGAAATGCACGTTTGTAAGTGGTGGAATGTGTTCGTAAATGAACGAATAATTCGTGCATCTCTGATCCTGGTGTTGGGGCAGAGAGGCTGAATGAAAGGATCGCTGTTATTCCGTGAAATTCAACGTCACTTCGAATATACCAATAGCAACCAGCCGACCGCGGACCATCAAATTTAATTTCATAAATGGCTATCGTTGGTAACCAGCGCGGTCATGTTTGGTAGTGGGCGACTACATGCAAACAATTGTGTTGAATTATTTGCTCGTATTCTTTCGGCGGGCCGCGATCGATCGACTTTTTGTTTTTTTTTTTTTTTCACGTTAGAAATATTCCATATATACGGATATTTCTTTATCAATACGAATTTGGAAAAAGTGAATTCGTTCAATACGGATTGTATTCGAATATTAAAAATTTTAATTATTCGTAATTATTTTTTTTTTCAAGAATAAAGATCGATTATTATATTGTTATATTAATATTGAACATTGCAAATTTAAAATTGATCTCTCAATATTCGGATATTTTTAAATGCTATAACGAATCTGGGTGTTCATTGTTCCTTGTCGATTTTTGTTTGTATTCAGAATGTTATATAATATTTGATTCTCTTTCAATAGGTATAAATTTTCTTTAATAAATATCTACCATTGTCTACAATCTGTGATTGTATTATTAATGAGCCATTCGTATTTAATTAAACTGTAGTTCAAATTTAATCTCGCGATTAAAATTGAAGAATTGTTTTCAATCATTTCTTATTTTTATTATTAAAATACCGTAAGCTCTCTATTGAAAATAAAGATATGAAAATCCTCTATACAAATGAGAAA